TGCGTGGATGGATGTAGTGTGTGAATGCTTGCGTGCCCCCATGGTTGCCAACGGTACAAATCTGTCGTATATAGAAACCATGGAATGATTATCCCGGATGCACCAGCAGTTCTAGGAAGTTTGAATCCGAGGACATGACCGTGTAGTTGCGTGTACGTGCGGGTTTGGGGGCACCGGGGTCAGATCCCAAATTCTTGGAAGCCGGCCGGAGCGTGTATTTGCGTGTATTTGCGTGTCAGTGGCTCTATATGAGCCCTAAAAACGTGTATCTGCGTGTACCTCCAAAACCAGGCTGAACACAAACCTTTGGTTCGCCGTGTCAATTCGTGTATCCTGCTGTTGCCAACTCATGGTCGCCGATCCGAGATTCCTGGCAGTTGTGCTCGATTTAAAGTAGTGATCGATCGCATCCCCGCTGGTTGGAAAGACCCCATGGCTCCGACGAAAGCAAACTTCAGGTGGCCCTCCAACCCTTCGTCTTCCGAGGAGTGGGTTTGGAGGCCTCGAGATGGGCTACCAAACGGGGTATGGGTTCTTAAGGCCGCCCTTAGGGAAGGGGATGCAAGCGAAGAAGGCCGAGGCAAGGGAAAGTCAAAGGGACAGGTAAGTGGAGCCAGAGAAGTGAAGGGCAAAGGAAAGGGAAGTGAAGCCAAAGGAGACAAGGGCAAAGGAAAGGGAAGTGAAGCCAAAGGAGAGAAGGGCAAAGGAAAGGGAAGTGAAGCCAAAGGAGAGAAGGGCAAGGGAAAGGCAAGTGAAACGGAAGAAGAAAGCAAAGGAAAAGGACAGCTTGCCAAAGGAAAGCATGGCTTAGGCCCGATCAAATATTCGGTTTGGTGAGTGTTTACCACGTGTTTGCAGAGTGCCTTGAAACTTGCGGTTTGAGCCTATAGAGATTCGAAAACAGGCAAAGGAGAGGGAAAGACTGCCCTTAACACAAAGGGTGACAAAGGCAAGGGCAAGAGTGCCGAGGCTGACCACCCAAGCAACAACGCTGCCGAAGCCACACTCACAGAGGGTGACAAAGGAAAGGGAAAGGGAAAGAAGGGCCAGAGCACCAAGGGCTGCGCGGGAAAAGGAAAGGAGACACCAAGCACCGAGGCTGACAAAGGAAAGGGAACGAAGGGCAAGGGAAAGGGAAAGGCTGCCCCAAGCGCTGACGAAAAGGCAAAGGAGTCGCCAAGCACCGAGGCTGGAAAGGGAAAGGGAAAGGAGGCCCCAAGCTCTGAGGTTGGAAAAGGAAAGGGAAAGGGCAAGGCGGCCCCAAGCGCCGCGGCTGGAAAAGGAAAGGGAAAGGAGGCCCCGAGCACCGAGCCTGGAAAAGGAAAGGGAAAGGCGGCCCCAGTAAAAGGAAAGGGAAAGGAGCCCTCAAGCACCGAGGCTGGAAAAGGAAAGGGAAAGGAGACCCCAAGCACCGAGGCTGGAAAGGCAAAGGGAAAGGCCGCCCCGAGCACCGAGCCTGGAAAAGGAAAGGGAAAGGAGGCCCCGAGCACCGAGGCTGGAAAAGGAAAGGGAAAGGCGGCAGTAAAAGGAAAGGGAAAGGAGCCCTCAAGCACCGAGGTTGGAAAGAGAAAGGAGGCCCCAAGCACCGAGACCGAAAAGGGAACGGGAAAGAAGGCCCCAAAGACCCAGGCTGAGACAGGCAAGGGAAAAGGACACCCAAGCGTCGAGGCTGGCAAAGGGAAGGGAAAGGAGGCAAGCACCGAGGGTTGCACGGGAAAGGGAAAGATTTTCCCTGGAAGGAAAAATTAAAATTATCCCTGGCACCGAGGTTCACACAGGCAAGGGAAAGAACGGCGCGGGAAAGAGCAAGGCCAGATGCTCCGGGTTATCATTCCGAAAATATCACCCAATGTAGTTTCTTGGAGGATCGAATGCCTACCGATGCCACTGTCGAGTGCTCATTAGACACGATATCACAGTCCATGGTGTGTGACCTGAGTGCATGTGACATGAGCATAGTAGATCTACCGGTTTTTATGTATGTCATATCTACCCACCGCTCTAGGTCGGAAGCCCTGCGGAGATCTCTACACCCCCGGCGAAGCGGCGGCGATTGGATGATGTGGCCTCTGCTGAGAAGTCTTCTGAGAAGGTATCTTCGCTTCGGGATTTGAGCCGTGAGTGCTTCAGCAACCTGACAAAGGATGCTTTCGTGTGCCCCCTCACCGTCTTGGAAGAAAAGTTTCCCTATGCCTGGGTTGGCGATGATGTCCGCATTCGCAAGAAGAACATTGAAAGCCACCCCATCTTCCAGGATTACATGGAGCACAACAAGACTCTCCAAAGCCCCTTCCAGTGGGAGATGTGTACCAATGATTGTATTCCGCACCTGCAGAACTACAACAACTTCCTGCTGCAGCTGCTGAACCCGAAGCCTGGCACCCTGAGCCGACGTGACACAGGCCGGCAATCTTGCTGCTTTTACAGTTGTCTAACAAACCATACGACCGCCCCCCCCCCCCTTCCCTCGCCCCCCCCCCCGACCTGCCCCCCAACACACCCCCCACTCCCAAAATACAATCGCGCACGCCCGCATTCACCCACACTCATACCCCGCCCAGCCCATACCCATACCCCTATATTTACCTGTTCCCAGAGCATTATATGCCTGTGCCCAAAACCGATACCCGTTCTTACACCCTTGCATCCAGGCCTCAGCACCACGAGTGCGAGCCCGACACTGCCAGCATCCTCGCCGAGCCCCTCGGAGCCACCGCCACGGTCCTGGGCTGAGAATTTAAATTCGGGCCAAGCTCTATCGACTCTATCGGTTCCTAATTCCAGGCCGACGAGAATGCCGAGACAGTTGTCATCCCTCACCGTCACGAGCAACGGTGACGGCGCGACGGAAGTTGGGCCTCTGGGGTTGAAAGATGAGAAAGGTCAGGTGAAAAGGGTCAAGGTGCTGTCGCCTGAGGAGAAAGAGGCCATAAAGGCCGGGTTTAAGCTGCATCAAGAGCATGACGAAGATCTTATCATGCACGATGGTCGGTCTGCAGGCCATGACCCACCCCAACCAGATGGATGCAGGGGAGCGGAAGCGTCAGAACGAAGCCCTCCGACGCAAGTTGCTCGGTGGAGGCCGATCACGTTTCAGCCACTCAACATAGAACCACTAATTTATCCCTGACCATTGCAGGACTCAAGCCGGGACTCCTCGAAAAGTATCAGAACTGCAGCGGCACCACACAGAAGCCAGCACCTCAATCGGGCTGTCATGCAACACAGAAGCCCAACTGGATCACCCTGCAGGTTCGAGTTTTTGAAGGCGTTCATTTTGGACCCCGACATGGAAAACATCGACGTGGAGCATTGCTTCAAGGAGTGACTTGGATGGCACTCAGCACCACAGACTGAACAGCAGCATTGATTCGTTCTGCAATAAGGATGTCGGAGCGCAAAACGGCGGACGTGTTCGTGGAATTGCCGCTAGAGGAGCTCAAGAAGTCCTACACGAGCCCGGCCCAAGTTCGTTTTTTGACCGACGTCATCTTAAAGCAGCCAGGGCGGCCGCACCCACAGGACTGCTCTTCACATACACATGCTCATGCAAGCGTCAGTGTGCAATTCAATGTGATCGCGAGGATCCCTCCAACAACGAGATGCGCCTCTACAAAGTCTACCAGACTGGAGTGGACAAAAGCCCCTCGGCTCAATAATCCGAAAGCGGTCCGAGTGTTGATTTCTTGTAAACATACGAGAGTGTACCTGAGGCTCGAATGTGTCGCAGCTTTCAGCCAAGCTGCGTGGCACGGCGCGGGTCGGGAAGAATGCTGCAGCCAGAAATGCCCTGGCGGAGTCCTTGGCAAGCAAGTGTGCAGAGATGACGAAAAGCTCCGGCAAGACTGACAAGCAGCCAAAGACGAAGAAAGACAAGAAGGCCTTACATGTCACTTCGTATATGCATCGCTAGTGTCAAAGCCACGATAACTTGTACCATCTTTGTCTCCACGCCGTCATTGTGATCATCGTCCGAAGTCCGAAGAACAGCATATCATCCTAGGCGCTGCCAGATTGATTGTTTGTCGTCTGAGCTTTTTAAAGTAGAGCCTAGGATCTACGAAATTCAAGCCCACACCCTAAGAACGCCGGCTCCAATCCGGCATCAGCTGGGAAGCCACAGCTACTTCTGTCGCTTTTCCTACTAGACTACATCGGCCCTCCGTTTTGTTCTGTGTGAACAGGAGCTTACGCACGACGAGAAGCAGCAGAAAGAGTTCGATCGAGATTTGCAAGCGTGCCCTGACTTTGACAGCCGTGCTCGAGCCGAATGCTTTGTGCTGGATGTCGTGATGAATGCCTCTGAGGGTGCATGCTCTGGCCAGCAAAGCACGCGTGACTGCGAAGAATATCATTGATGCAAAGCTCCTGAACCAGGAGGTTTCACCGGCCTCCTTTTCGGAGTTTTTGTGTGCCTTCACATATTCAGCTGCATGCAGGCTACCGTGCAAAGCTTGAAGTCGGTCTATGGGCAGCTGATGGAGCTGCATGCAAGGCTTCCTGTTTGCAATCCTCGTGTTTAAGTCGGTCTGGAGCTTGCCCTGGAATTGAAAGGGCTGTTGCTGCTACAGGGTCAATGAGATGATCTTTAACGGCGGCACCTTCGAGAACTATGCGTATGTCTTGAATACGGAGAAAGAGCGCTGTGAGGCGCCGGACTGTAGACTGTTGTGCGACAAACTCCCAAATAATCCTACTTAAAGGATCATGGGACTTAGTAAGTAGGTTATAATTGCCCCTAAGTGTAGTTATCCTAACTATAACCTACTTATAACCCTACTTACTGAGTCCCATGATCCTTTAAGTAAACCTGAACTATAGAGACAGGCCCTGCGTCGTAGGTTCGTCGTATACCTATACAAGTTAGGAGGAAAAATGTAAACACCAAGAGCAAACCCTAAGCCCTTCATGCGCGTAGACCCCACATGCTAAATCCCCACATGCACCACGGCCTTACACAAACCCCATGAAGCCTGCTGAAGACCGAACGTCCAACCCCGAAGCCCGAAAGACCCAGGTGTAAGCTGCATCCAAGCCAAAGTTGCAGGACTTCGAGAAGCAAGTCGCGTCAGCAGAAACCATCGTCAAAGCCCACGAGAGCCGTCTCATCCTCAGCTGGGTGTACTCATGCATGTGTGTTGCTATCGGATCGAGTTTGTTCTCACAATTAAGGGGTCGCGGCCGAGAAGAGAAAGCGGGAAAAGGAGAAGAAAGAGGAAGAGGAGAATGCAAAAAAAGCGAAGGCCGAGGATGAATGGGCAGCATGGAACACCGGAGAAACCGAAGATTGGGGTGAGGAGTGGGAGGAAAATGCCTAGGCTTCTTTATCGAGCATCGTCATGAGTTTTCAAGCTGTAAGCTTGGTCGGGTAGGATTGTTGGTGCACTGCTTGCTGATACCTCTAAAACATCCCGAGGCTGCATGAATCAGGCAAGTGTCGCAGTGTCATCGATGTCAGCCGATCGCGCCGTGCAGAGTCCTTGATTGAGGATCGAGTGTGGTGGTTTTCAGTGTATATTGAACCCCTTTAGACAGAGCAAATTGCCTCAATTGCCTATCGAGTGCCCCAGAGTCTACAGCGAACTACTTTCCGCCCTGCTGCCACAACTCGATCCCGGTCGCAAGCGAGTTAGAGCATCCAAGAAACATCGGATGCCGATAATGTTCGAGGCGCAGCCTGTTCAATGCTAAGCATTGCAGCAGGGTTTAGCAGGCGTCTGGCATCGATCATGTTGGTTGCCTGAAGACTCCAAGCTCCATCTGTAGAAGCCAAAGCCACCAAATCATCAGGTTCAACACTGAGGAATTGTCACTGCCGGAAGAACATTCTACTTAAACTTCTCATGGTTTATCACCGTCACCATGACCATCATCAAGCGAGGCATCTTCAGTGTCAAATCCAGCATGCAATGATGCTGGGAGGGGATATGCCCGCAAGCTGCCGCAGGCTGCTCCTAGACTTTAGACGAGTGCGCACTGCCGGTGCAAAGAGTGTGTGGCTGTCTGTTGTCGCTCCTAGAGATAATTCGAGGAACTTCGCCAGCGATGTGATGCCTCGATCATCCGTGGCTTGAAGACTTTAGTTCCTACTCCATTGTATTAAAGGCCTATGTAGATCCCACACCCGAAATGTTCGTGCAACTATCTAACCCAAAACCCACGAAACCTTAGATGAACCCTGAAGCCCGAAACCTCATTTTCATATCCTGCCTCTGTTATATCCGAATCTCCAAGATCATACAAGGTTAGTCTTCCAAACCTAAACATGTGAGCACTGTGAACCCTTTCAAATGTGTCAGCATGTCGAAAGCCCAATGGGCTACGCAGCTCGTCCATGATACAGTCAATGAGTTTTTCGAAATGCTGGGAGCTGGTGAGGCTGGACAGATCGAACATATGTGTTTCTGAAGTATAGACATGGTATGCTGCAGCAGGTCCCAATGGAAAGACTCAGATCCTTGCTGAGTCACGGTCTCAGCCATCTCGCATGTACTCGAAGATCCATCCTGATGCTGAGGTCGTTTCAACAATGTGCCGTATTATCTTATACCGAGACTTGTAATGCAATGACTCACGTTGTGCGTGAAAGCTGCCGAACTGAACTTGCTTTGTGGATCCAAGGCAAGATGTTGCGCGGTTATTGGAGATTGTGCAAGCTGCTGCATCATCTCGAGGTCTAGGAAATGCACTGGCAAAGTGGATCAATGAGCAGCCCTGGCGAATCTCGAATGCAATATGCCATGCTATCCCAGGTTGCGGCGCAGTGCAACAAGTCTCATGGTTGTATATATGCTTGCCTTATGTGAGGGCAAGTCCTACCGCAGAACTATTCGATGACAGTCCCCATCGCTGCTTGGACTAGAACCGTGGTGCGAAAAAATTGTCAACCTCACAACACACACTAGAATACCGAAGTTCAAACTCGGAGCCCGACGCGCGGTAGACTAAGAATCTTCTATGTGCCGGCCCTGAATTTTTCTATGTATGATCTTAAAAGAGCGTATTCAGCTGAGGAGCGCCTCGATATGCACGGCCGAGCGATCCCCGACACGCAGCAGCACGAGATGCTATTGCCTCACGAGGTTGTCGGCCGGCTCTATGCTTCTGGGCTCATGGACCTACTCACGGGAGATGCTGATGAGTCCTGTCTGTGGAGTGATGGCTTATACTTGGTACCGCACTCTTCTGCAGAAGCAACACTAATTTATAGGCGGTGCAAACCAATCTTGACTGATCGATCTATGTGGTGTAGTGTGCTTATAAAGCCCACTAGTCGATGATAACTAAATGCATGTTGGGGCAGCAGCAACTTGAGGATGCCAGGCGATACTGGGAAATGGAACGGGACACCGAATGGTTCCGACAACATCCTGTGCTTTCCGCTGGTGTCGACTTGAGCAAGTGCATCCCACTGCGCCTCTATGGTGACGGCGCCGAAGCATTCCGAAACCCAGCATGCATGCAAAGTGTGTGATCGATGGCTTCATCCTCTGCAGTTGGGAAATTCAGGGTTCAGGATTTTTGCCTTGTGTGATATGGCGACCCTGTTTGTAAGAAAGCCAAAGTCTGCGGTCGGCCCACGCATGATCTCATATAACTCAGCAAGCCGAGGATCTCACAAGTTCGAAATCCTAGTGCTGCAGAGCGTTCTTGGGAAGTCTTCAACAACTTTGAACAATCGCTGGTTGTCTCTAGGCAGCACTGTTAACGGCGGTCATGTGGGTCCATGTCCACCTGTAGAATGTGCAGTTATTCTGAGGCTCTCCTGTGCGAACGCTTCATTGCACACAGCAGCTGCTCGGAACAAGATCCTTCAGGTTCTGGCATGGAGCTTCAATGCTCTTAGCTTCCCGGACGGTTATATATCGATGCCACATTAACTGCCTGAACTACACAATAAACTCTGGACTTTGGTAACCATGGCCGAGACTCCAAGGCTCAGTCCAAACATTCAATCCACAAACTTTTTGAGAATAGTCTCCTACAGCAAAAGTATCATTGCTTATGATTCTGAGTCCTGTATCTGGTTAGACCCAGAGGACCGCCGATTGAAAAAAATCAAGCGGGATTGAAAATTCTCAGCGTTTTGATTGTGTCGATCAAATTCAATAGAAAACGATCTTTTTCAATAGAAATTTAAATCCTCAAAATCAATAGAACTGCGACATAAAAATCAATAGAAACCTCCACATCAAAATCAATAGAAAATCTCCATAAAATCAATAGAAATTTTCCATAAAATCAATAGAAATTTTCCATAAAATCAATAGAAATTTTCCATAAAATCAATAGAAATTTTCCATAAAATCAATAGAAATGTTCTCAAATCAAACGAGAAACACTTCTGACATCAATAGATTTCAGCGCTATCTCTGCCTCCACCACTATATATAATACCTCTACCTCGACCTCAACCTGTACCTTTATCCGTATCTCTGCCTGTATATCTCTACCTTTACATCTTTACTTCTTTATCTCTCTATCGCTGTATATCTCTCTATCGCTCTACCGCTCTATCGCTCGATCTACCGCTCTACCGCTCGGTCGCTCTATCTCTCTATCTCTTATATCTCCCTGTCTCTCTATCTCTCCATCTCTACCTGTATTTTTATTTCTATATATCTATCTCTTTCTTTTTTCTCTTTCTCTATCTCTCACTTTCTCTTCCCCACCCTTTCCCAGAAGGCTTCCAGCCTAACACTTCTTTTTCACAGCAGCGGCAGGGAATCTTGGGTGAAGCTTCTTTTGAGCTCTCCTTCGAAACTTGGCCTTGTAAAGGCCTCGGAGCCTAACTTTCAAAAACGGTTCCTGGCTACTTGGACTTGGACGTGGAATTGGACTCAGGCATTCCAGCCTAACACTTCTTTTCCACAGCTGCGGCAGGGAATCTTGGGTGAAGATTCTCTTGAGCTCTTCCTCAAAACTTGGCCGTGGAGGCTTGGAGCTTACCTTTCAAAAAAAAGCTCCGGGCTACTTGGGCTTGGACTTGGTATTGGACACTGGCAGCCCGCATGGCTGCAAGCCGTCCCTGACTCTCGGGTTTTGCTTGATGATCATTTTTTGAATCGGGGACAAAAAATCCCAAACGAGAAGGTGACCCGGCGGAGCTTCCGCTTCAGCTTCCTGTGAGGGGTCGTGGTAAAAGTCAGGCTCCTCTGGCCACTCCTTCATGGCCTGCTCAAAGTCACTCTGAGTGATCGGAGGGTCATACATGCCCAAGACCATCGTTTCCTGGCTCAGGCTCACGTTGTCCGGGCTCTGGTTTGGCCCCTTGGCCATGGTCTCGGCAGCTTGGCAAGCTTCCCAAACGGCTTCCAGACCTCCATCCGAGTTGTCTTCTTCCTGCAGATCTGTTTCGGCGTAAGGGTTTAAAAGCTGGTTATGAGGGTATAGGGGTTCACATCTATCTATCTATATATATATATATATATACAAAATCTATATATCGCACTGAAAGAATCCCGCCTCGAGAGCAAAGCAGGTGGCGGCTGCAGGCCTCTTGGCTGTCGTCTCTGCCGGAGTCTCCAAGGTGGCGTCTGGCCTCTTGACTGTCGTCTCTGCCGAAGTCTCCAAGGTGGCGGCTGGCCTCTTGACTGTCGCCTTTGCAGAAGTCTCCAAGGTGGCGGCTGGCCTCTTGGCTGTCGTCTCTGCAGGAGTCTCCAAGGTGGCGGTTTGGCTCTTGGGAGCTTGGCCACTGGAGG